GGGGCAGACTTGCGCCCTGTATGCCACCCAGGCTGGGGTAAGCCCAGCCCAGCCGCGCGGCCTTCAGCTCTGCCACCGTTGGCAGCCTCAGACTCAGCCCAGACTGAATTGAATGCTTGAGTTTCGCACTTTTATCGGGAGGAGGAGCTGGTGTGTGTTATGGTAAATCACTTTGGGCTGGTCGTTAGTCTCCCTAATACACGTAGGCTTAGTCGCTCTTCAATTGGGACTTTTACACTTCAGCTCTTTAAGGGCGGCCTCTGGGGCTGCTTTTGTTGGGAACACAGGCCCACAACTCTCCCTTGAGACTGGAATGAGCTGGTTAAGTGTGGGAAGAACAGGGTACTAATTATATTATCTTTCCTACAACTGGATTGGTAGGTGGAGAGAAAAAAAAATCCTGCTGACGTTTCTCTCTAGTCGTTGCTATTGAAAATACCAGGTTGCTTCAAAGGATTAACCACAAGGAAGAGGAAAAACACCCTTAGAGAAACAGTGGAGGGAGCTGCTTAAAACACATGAAAAAAACCTGTTCGAAAATGGCACAGAAAACGTAATGTCAGACCTAAATGCTTTTACAGGCTAACCTTGAATGCCTTTTGGGGATTTCCATAGAAGGTGCGCTTGCTTTAAAGGTCTCTCCATCTGTTCCTGGATCTTGCCCTGCAATTGCAATCCTGCCTCACCCTCTCCAAGCTGGGAGAACGGGGCCTGCCCAGATCCTTCCCGGGAGTAGCTGGTGCCAGCGGGTTTGGTCACTCCCAGGCCCTGCTGTTGCACACCACTTTGAAGACCTGTCCCTTTGGTCACCCTCCTCAGAGACCCTGTGACACTCATTCCAGCACATGGCTTCACCCACTGCGTCACTGCCCAAAGGGGATGAAGTCCAGTCCTTGTGCTGCAGAGAAATGAACCAACTCAACGCCCCCAAGAGACGGCCCCACTAAGCACTGACTGAAACACATTAAAAGAAAACACAACCCACCATTAGAGCTGTGGCCTAATTATACTCATTTCTCTGCAAGCTGGTACTGTAATGGCCTCAAGGGAGAGCCTGCCACTCCATCCCAAAATAGAATTAGAGATACAAATTCTGCCTTGAGAGATACTAAGATCTTTGTAGAACAGAGCTTTTCTTCTCCAAAGGAAGAACATTTCCTTCTTACTTTACACTGCCAGTTTCATGTCGAAACTGAGTTGTTGTAACTTCCCTAATGAAATGCCCGATGGAAAATGGAAAGGCTATTTTAGTTCTGGGCTCGATCCGGAATCAAGGGGGTTAAGGCTGGATTCAGGGCAGCAATTCCTTATATTGTATCAGAAGTCTTTCATGCTGCCTGGCCTTTCATGTAGCTCTGAAGCAGCTTTATCGATGTATGCTAAGTAAACATAGCTTTGTTTTTGTCTTCCACCCACCGTTCCCTCCCGGCACAGACTGGAGTTGGATCCCGTCCAAAGCGGCTGCTGCAGCAGTTACAGCCGCCTCCTCCACACACAGGAGCAGGGTTTCTAGGGTGAGGCAATGCGTCTGCAATTCGCAGAGACAAGGCAGGAATTGTAATTGTAGTTCATCATGTGATGACTTATGAAAGAGGAAGTTGGTATGTTTTAGTCACGTAGACTCTGCCCTCTTGCTTAAGGCACCAGGACCTCTCAGAAGAGAATTATGCTCATCTTTGCCACCCAGAGTCAAGGTTACTGGGTTGGCTGCAGTGTGCTCCTGCACATTCATATACGGACAGGCAGGCAGATGCTGGGCCAAGTGTCGGCGAAGCAGCGGGATGAGGCTGGCTTTTCACCAGAACACTGAAATGTTGCAATTTGTCTTAAGGACTAAAGGAAATATTCTATGGAGAACACTCCTGCTGAGACTAGACAAACCAACAGTTCTTTCCAGCTCTAATTTCTGAGTGTTTTTTTGTTTTTTAATAAAAATACAGTTCAGGAGTAAAAGGAAAGCCATTCAGTATGACACCATCAGAAAAGCAGGAATAAGGAAGTAGCATGGAAGGCAAACCTAAGAGAGCAGTTGTAAGCGATAGCTCAATGGGTAGAACAAATATGACCTTCCCACACCGAGATTGAAATGGGCTTCTACTGCGTGAGCGTTAAACATCTAAAATCTGAATCTGGTTTCCAGAGCTTACTCCAGTCAAGCAGCTCCTAACACATGGAAGCCCTGAGCTGACAGTCTATAGAGCAGTGTAAAGAAACGGTTCCTACAAGAGTACCTTATTGAACTTTGTCCCCAGGATACGCAGCTGCAGGAAGGGTGCAGCCCCATGCCCCCAGCAGCTTGTGGGTGCTGTCCAGGCGATAGATGGTATTCCTAGGAACTGCTGAGTCCGTGGCTTTCACCCTCTATCCAGAGGTGGAATCATAGCCTTCATTCTTTAGAGTGCAGTTTCCTTAAATAGCATGATGTTGCAACCATGCTAAAGCTTCTTAAACTCTGACCTTGGCATATTTGAAGAAGAGAAAAAATGCAGTCACATTTCATCAGGATTTCTGTGGACATCATTGCAGGTTTTTTCAGCTTTGGCAAAAGTGTCATAAGGCTTGAAGAGCACACGTGATATTCAGGGCTTTTCCAATTCTTTTAAAAAAATTATTTATATTTGAACACATTTGTTTATATGAATATATCTACACATACTATGGAGCACCATGACATAAATGAACCTTCTGTAATTGATACGAGAGTCTTCCTTCTCAGCAACAGCATTTTATGAGGCAGTCTTACTGTTTTTCAAATCGCAAATACTCTTTTGTAGAAATGCTTTCCCTCTGTTTGACCTCTCTCTGTAGCCCACCTCCCCTGTGCACAGAGAGCATACAGATAGTAAAGCCACTTTTGCATGTGGAGGAGATAAACTCTCTGTGGAGGGTCTAAGAATCAAGCCAAATAAAATCACAGGAGCTCTTAATCATCCACATATTGTACACAGAAGCTGTTAGTCACCAGCCTATATGTCAACATATGTATAGGTCCCTATTTAGAGCAAAATTTGGGGTCTTGATGAAGGTTAAATACTTACTGTGTCAGAATTTAAAGAGCTAAGTGAGAAACAGACAAAACAGACAAAGGAGAGATTGAGGTCACACACTTGCTCAGTCTGCAAGGAAATTTGTAGAACTGGAAGGGATTCAACAGCCATTTGATGCCAGTAAACCTCCTATTGACTTTTTGGAAAAAGCAGGATGAAATGCACTTTTCTGGAATAATATCTGGATGTGGGTTTAACTTAGAATATTTAAGACACTCACTGTAACCCTTTGAAAGATATCAGTAGGAAGGTGCTGACAAAATAATGAATTAACTTCACAGATAATGTTTGAAAATATAAAAATGGTAAATTTTCTCTTCTTAGCTTTCCTATTAAAAAATGTATGTTTCCTACATACACATTCCATAGCACAAGAACTGAAAAACTCAAATAATGTAATAATTCAAAAAGGTTAAAGAACAGTACGATGGCATGGTATTTGGTATATCTTTCATATGAACATTTAAAAAAGATATTTCGAGGATAAATTCTGTTATCTTGTCATCCTTTTCAGAAACTAAAAACCTGACTTACCTAAAGTAACATGAAAAGTGAGTGTCAGAGGCCAGACGTGGTGGCTCACGCCTGTAATCCCAGCACTTTGGGAGGCCACGGTGGGCGGATCAGGAGGTCAGGAGTTTGAGACCAGCCTGGCCAGCATGGTGAACCCCCGTCTCTACTAAAAATACAAAAAATTAGCCAGATGTGGTGGCAGGTGCCTGTAATCCCAGCTACTTAGGAGACTGAGGCAGGAGAATTGCTTGAACCCAAGAGGCGGAGGTTGCAGTGAGCCAAGATTGTGTCACTGCACTCCAGCCTGGGCGACAGAGCAAGACTCTATCTCAAAAAAAAAAAAAGGAAAAAGAAAAAAAAGAAAAAAAGTGTCAGAACTGATATCTAGGTATGAGTCCTATTGCCTAAGGATGTAGTCGAGAATATTCTATTTGCATTTCGCATTGTTAAAAATCATGTAAGCACAGTGTAGAGTGCAGCAAAAGAGTGTTAACATCTGAGTGTTAACAGGAAAGGTGTTAAGATTTGCTTATCTATACCTATATTTATAGGAAAAAGGAAAATTTTACTATAGTCCGTAGAACAATCAATCCAAAGAGAAGTAAACATTCACCACAGACAAAAGGAGCTGACAGAGTTAAGGCACAGTTGCTACAATACCATGTCTAGTGTGGGACTGTTTAAATGGCAAACCATTTTTATGCTGGTGTTTATGAACCTTGGATAAAAACTGATGTTGGTGTTAGGATAAAAGATTCAATTGTGGGAGTCAGTTGGGTGATGAAATGGTTTTGGCACTTACCAAATTGAATACTGCACCTCCAACTCTTTGTGATCTGTTCTCTTAAAAAGAGGAAAAACTCATTAAATAATTTAATTCCAATTGTAGGAGTCCAATCCTGACTACTTTGCACTCAGACAAATAAATACAATGGGCTACAGGGTACTGAAAAGAAAAAAGTATGAAACAACATTGTATAGAATATCACAGTTATAAGGGTACAAGTTGTTCATAAATTATTCAAATGGACTTTTATTGTTATTATTATTTGAGACAGAGTCTTCCTCTGTCGCCCAGGCTGGAGTACAGTGGCGTGATCTCAGCTCACTGCAACCTCCGCCTCCCAGGTTCAAGCAACTCTCCTGCCTCAGCCTCCTGAGTAGCTGGGATTACAGGCTCGCACCACCACACCCAGCTAATTTTTGTATTTTTAGTAGAGACTGGGTTTCGCCATGTTGACCAGGCTGATCTCAAACTCCTGACCTTAGATGATCCTCCCACCTCGGCCTCCCAAAGTGCTGGGATTATAGGCATGAGCCACCGCACCCGGCCATGTTTTGTATTTCTTATGAAATAGAAATTCGCCAATAGAACTAGGCTTTCTCTTGACAAGATGAAAATATATTTTGCAAAAGAATGCCATTCAGCAGGAGAATTTGGCCTTACCAATGGAGTTTCACTAATCTGTTCTGGTGACTGACTTACTTTAGTCTAATAGGCTCAGCAAAAAATAAAATAAGGTTGTTATTTGAAACAATTATTGTATGTATATAGTGCAGATTCCAATGCTATCTCTCGGAGATCTACACATTTAACAATAAAATTCTTTCTCCAACACCTGTTTTTTGGCATGGGAGGAGTAGTGGTCATTTTTGTAGGTGAAGGAGACACAGAGAGCTCCCTACAGAAGGAAGGAAAGTTAAACAGACTGACCGAGGACTGTACTTTATTAGTTGGAGTGAATTCCTGTATGCATTGGCACATCCATTTCTGTGCCCACATAGTAATGCCTCTGTGTGAGACAGAGTGCAAAACCACTGGGAGAATGAAGATTCACACCCAGAACTGAAGTTCATACAGGGGAGAAGGAAACAGACATGTGGTAGGCAGCCTAGATGTGAGCCCTAGCAAGAGACCACTGATGGATTCCCCAAAGTGACTGCCTAAATCTAGTGTGTTTACTACAAAGCTTGTCACAGACAGCTAAAATGCAAATACAAATGAACTTTGATGGACTTCCTGGCAAGACTCCCAGCCCTTCAAGCAAATTCCTGAGTGAGGAAGCTGGTTCTGAAACATGCCTGGGAACTGGACACACGTGAACTTCCTGAGGACTCTTCTCTTTAGCATTTAACAGGTAGCTGGATTTTAAACATTTGTCAGGCTGCTTTTATTCTGTCTACCTGCCTCTCAATTATCTACCTATCTACCTATCCATCTATTTATCTTTGCATTATCAGACCAATTCATTATTCTTAATAATGGCTAAGAACATCAGCATCTGTTCACTTTATGAACCGAGACACCAAGGCAATAAGGAATCTGTCTTAAAACAAAGAAAATGTGCAGTTAAACGACAGTTAGAATTCAGTTTTCCCAAACTGCAGTTCTTTCTTTAGCCCACTGGTGGGCTGCCTCCTATTTATATTTTCTTCATAGGTTCTTTTTTGCATACATGTAAATATCCATGCAGGAGATCACCGGGGGACCACAGGTTCTCTTCGTACACCTGGCATGTGATCTGAGGCAGGTCAGTTGGATACCTTAGGCCGGTTTTTCTTGAGTGGAGGAGATGGTGCTGGCCTTGATGTCATTTCTGTTCTGACCTCTCATGTGGTGGGTGGGGGTGATGGGAATACACAGGAATTTGACAAACCCAAGCCCAACATTCTTCTGACCCACATGGGATTACAAAACAATGCGGAAAAACTACCAGTAAATGCCTGCCCATTATTTGGGGGCACTGTGCCATCCAAATAAAGTCAGCAGGTTAAATGGCTACCAGAGCATCACATCATTCTGAGAACATCATGTCTGTTTGGTTTGGGCTTAATCCCAGGTTAGGAGAATCTAAACCACGGTCTATACTTAGTTTAAATTAACCAGGGCAAAACATCTGTATCAGCATTAATATAAGACCAACTTCAATGTCTCAGGGCTTATGGAAAATATTTGCATTTTTCTTTCCTTAAGAGACTGCCTTATTTCATATATGTATGTGTGTGTATGTGTGTTTATATATAATTTTATGTGTATGTGTGTATATGTATATATACATGTGTATATATGTGTAAATATATGCATATACATACATATATGCATACATATATATATATATATATGGGCAAAGACTTAATATACTATCCACAGGCTATTCAGATTATTCAAGAGGCCCTCAGTTGAAGAAGCAAACAGACAGACAAAACGGTTTCATACACAGGCAGGCATTTAGCTGAGTAGGTCAGCAGGATACGGAAACTTGCTTTGAGGTGGTTTTGTATTCTCACCTAGGATTCTACTACTTAATGGCTGTGTGGCTTCTTTGCAGGCTATATACAGAATTCATAAAGGGTGTTATGAAAGTAAATTCAAAGAATTCTGATGTTTTGAAATTTGTTGTGACTTGGTTAACTATGGTGAAATGTTACATTCATGTTACACTATGGCATTTGTTTATACGGGTCTGATTATGGGAAAACTTAATGAAGTTTTAAAAAATTGTATGTTTTTCAAAAATTCTGTGTTTTTCTTAGGTGAAGAATTTGTTTCAGCTGTACTTCAAAAACCAAAAAAGGAGCCACCATATACTTTACTTTTCATATAAAGATTACTCAATATATTTTAAAATGGGTGTTCCAGAATTAGACTTCCAGATTCCTTGAATTCAGAGTGTGGAAAAGGATAGGCAGCTCGTGTAATAGGAGACATTCTTTGAAAAGCCTGGAATGTTGAAACCCTCTTAGACTGAAAACATGTCAGGACATGCCTTTTTGGGATACTGTCAAATGGTTTAGGCTCAGAATTCCACATTCCGTACTTTTGAAGTTGTTTTCTGTTGGCAAATGACCTCTTGATTATTTTCATGTGGTGAGTATTCAGGCCAACCTTTTTGGCTCCAAGTGATTTAAAAACACACACACACACACAAAAACAAACCACTCTGAAGTGTCCGTATTTTAGCATAAAGTTAGGAATTATGCGAGTGCTGGGTGTATCATGGTCAGTTCTGTGAGCCTCGTCACAGTTTATAGCCAAAGTCAGAGGCTTCAAAATCAGACACACATTGACCTGGAATGCTTTATTCTCCAGTGCTCTTTCTTGATTCTCAAAAGTATCACTACTGTGAAAAAATTTTCACTATTAGGGAGCTGTCATTTCCCTGGTAAAAGTAAACAGCAATTTCATTCACCTCTGCTCGTTTCTGGATGAAGGCTGGCAATGGCTTAAGGAACAAATAAATGAATGAGTAAATGAGTGGAGTTCCCTCCTCCTGACTCAGAAAGGTGCTGTTTCCCCTCATGAAGGAGACACAACTTAGATGCAAGCCAGTTCTCCCACTACATAGAGCCCTTCTGTTTTTAGGAAGTTCTGATTCATGGATTGGAGAATTGCACTAAATTAGTGTGCTGTACAGCATGGGCCTGGTTAAATTAAACATAAATGCTCTGCCCCCTGCCACCCACCTCAGTCTGACCACGGAGAGTTCATTTGATGGGCGCCACTATCTGTGAGACCCAAAGGTAGCTGACTTCAAACCCTGTCTACATTTGCCTTATTTAGACCATGTGTTAGTAGATGTTGTAATATTTTTTATGGACCAGTAGGATTCTCAGAATGCTTCAAAACAGAGAGGCATCATATTGGGTGATGATTTTTTTTTTTTTTTTTAAGTCTCGTCTCGATTTAATTTTGTGAGAATTTTTAAAAATTGTCTGTTTTATTGAGAAATTACTCAGAGATCATATACAATGAGAATCTCGGCTGGAAGAAGGTAAACAAAACAAGTATAACAAGGGTTCTTTTAAAACATTTCATTTTGCAGACCAATAATACAACTTGTAAATCTTTTACAAATACTTTTCTTACGGTGTATAAATTATATTTTACTTGAAGCTAATAAAGCCACCATAGAGAAGAAAGTTAATTTTTTTTCTTTAAGCTTTCCATAGGTAGTATAATTTAAATAATTCTATGGTAGAGTTTCAACACCTCAGATTGAGCACTTTTGTTTACGAAGTAAGAACAGTAATCCTCATGTAAAAAGGTGGTATTGCTACCCTAGACAGCAGATGGTGTTATTAAATACACAGGCAAAGTCTAAGGTCATAAGGAACTAACAATTAACCAGAAATACGATCTGTCACAGTCGTTTAATGGGTAACCTACCAGATATATACCACTTGTATTCTTCTGAGTGGTGGGAGGTAAATAGTCAAGCTTCAGAGCAGTTGCAAAATCGTTTAGAAATATTGTAATTATATTCTTATTCAAGCATTTAGTGAAACCAACAAGCCAGAAAGTGAAAATCAGTGTGATTTCCTCATAATACTGTGTCCTATTAATCTAGTTTGAAAAATACTTTACCAATTCAGACAGCACAATTTCATAGCTATCCCTGAATCTAACTGGTCTCCCCAAAGTAGGACTGTTAAAAGTTTGAATTTTTTACTGCTAGTCTCAGTTGTTCTCAGATCTCTTTACATTATCATAGGTATAATTTTTGCTCCTGAAGTTTTCGTTGTGTGAAGGTAAAAAACTGGAGCATACACAATAGCAAATGGAAGCAGGGTGACAGGAGACAGCTGGGAAACTGTAGTGGGGAGGAGAGGGAGTCAGCTGGGGCTGGTGGGGTGGACCGTAGGAAGAGGATGGTCTCACCAGTAAGGAATGGGTGGCACTATTAAAATCTGGATGTGGGCTCAATTTCTATTGTAAATCAAATATAAATCTATCACTAAAATAGGAGCTGGAGACACAGTGCCCAAGTCCTCATGAGAGTTTCACAATAAGGGTTTGCCATGTTGAATGTGTCATCAATTCCTTTTCAGTTAGGGCTTTTGAGGATGAGGAACTGAATTCTAAATTCACCCAAAGGAAAAATGGCCAACAGGGCAGCAACTAAGCTTGAATCACGAAGAACAAACTGCTTGGTTAGAATTTGGAAGAGTGGCTGCGTGCAGTAGTGCACACCTATGATCCTAGCACTCTGGGAGGCTGAGGCAGGAGGATCACTGGAGACCAGGAGTTTGAGACCAGCCTGGGCAACATAGCAATATCTCTACAAAAAAAAAAAAGAAAAAAAATACAAAAATTAAGGCCAGGTAGAGTGGCTCACACCTGCAATCCCAGCACTTTGGGAGGCTGGGGTCTCTACAAAAAAATTAAGAATTAGCCAGTTGTGGTAGTGCATACCTGTAGTCCCAGCTACTAGGCAGGCTGAGGTAGGCGGATTGCTTGAATCCAGGAGGTTGAGGCTACAGTGATCCATGAACCATGATCATGCCACTGCACTCCAGCCTGGGGAA